CAGCAGGGAAGGAACTAAAAAGCCTGAGGTATTTAACGAGCAGATCTGTGTAGCAAAACATGAATTCTGAGTAGAAAGGGAAGAGCATTTCCTGACCCATCTCAGCTCACAGCTGTGCACTCGGTAATGTCCTCAGTGCAAGGAGAAACATGGAGCAAAGGAGAAAATGGAAAATCATCTTTCAGTTGCTCAGACCAAAGTCAGATACAATGCCATATCCTTAATGTGTACACAACTTGCAGCATGCTCTTCAGAGCTGTGTCTCTTTCTGTACATACCTTTTCATGGGCACCACAAAACTCCTACTTGGTTTGACTACAGTAAATAAAACCACTTACTTGGCTTGCTTCTGCTCTGGAATAGACTACTGTATTCTTGATGGATTCCTTGTTAAATAAATCAGGCTAAGGTATTAGCAAAGTTAACTTCTTCCAAATACCATCATAAAAGAAGCAACTGCCAAAAGGTTTATCTGACTGTATTCGGTTTTCTGTTCCCATGCTATTGCCACTGCCTGGGGTTGTTAACTGGTAACATGGCTCTAGCTATTATTTTTAATTTCAAAGTTGTATTAAAAGGCAGCCAAAAATTCTAGTTTCCAGCAAAACTGCCATGGAAACAATTGTTGAAATTGCCTGAGAGATTTTATTTGTGAACAGAAGGGAATGATTCACTCTTAAAATGCATCCCATGCTACAGAAAAATTTCGGAGCCTCCCCTAAAAACAATCCTGAATGCTCAGACACTGGACCAACCACACGAAATGTAACTGTGTAATCAAAGTCAATTAAAAACTGCCTGTTCCCCTAGAGCCTGCGTGACAACGGGCATATTACCTCTGTGTGGTCATTTTAGAGCCTCAGGAAATCATAAGCAAGTTTTTAACGTTCTGGCCCTATCTCAGCAGAGAACATCCAACTTACATTATAATTCTGAAGAAATGTCCTTGTCTTTACATCAGGACAGCAAATGGGAGGTAACCCAGCAAATGCTCCTGAGGACATGCACTGCTTTGTAGTTCCTTACCAGTTTCTAGTGTTCTTGCCATGAGATACGACTGCGGTGTGAGATCAGAGGGATGGCAATTCCTTTAGTCAACTCCCATAACTTCGTGACTTTCACTCTGACACTTTATGGTATGCTTTTTCTACATATAGGAGCTTACCTAGAAAAATCTTACCATGACTTGGGTTCCCCAAAATGCAAGTAGTTAATACTGTAGAGATCCATGTCCTCAGTGTGCCACGCAAAGGAAGTTTTCCACATGCCAAAATACAGGTAAGGAGTATTCACTCCTTCAATGGTTATGCCACTTTCGTTCTCCACGATATCCAGGATTGTGTTCAATCTGCCAATATTCCAGGCATCTACATGCTGCAAAACACAAGCCTCATGTTAAATGAGCATTATGAAGAACAGAACCACACAGCGAAGGTGACAGCTGCAAAAGCTATCAGAAACTCCTGAAACAGCACATCAAGACAAATCATTACTGGCACAGCTCAAACCATTAGCTAGTTTACCTAGAACAAACATTCTGCATGGTGTTAGCTTAGACACTAACTGTTTACTAGCCACTCTTCTGGAGGAAAAAAAAATTATTAGGCAAAATAATTATTAGGAAGGAGAAATAATAATGAAGTTACAGACTTCACAGAGCAGAGAATAATAGTGTAAGTTTGAGCTGCTGTCTGAACTCTCTTGAGCAGAGACATTTTTCATTCCAGACATCTTTTAAGAGTAAAATCATGGTAATTTAGGAGACCAGCAAGCAGAACACTTGAGAATCTTTCCTAATGTTTATCATTTTAATGTGAAATGGCTACACAGCTGTCCCACAAAAATACATGCACTACTGGATACCAAAGCAGTGCACATTCACTGATCAACACTTGAACTCTGACACCGTTCAGCACAAAGCACCATAAAAGCAACACCTACACAAGAGTAGTTTTTGCTTTCTTGAACCAAACTGTATTACACTGAAGCACAAACAGAGGTCCCTTAAAACATTACCTCTATCAGCCTCCTTGAACTATCTGGGCGAAGTGGAGAGTATGGTTATAAATATAGTTTATTCTGTGTCTGCCTACTGCAGAAGCTGGAATTCTGCTAAGACTCTTTCTGAAGCTTCAGAGTCAAATGCTACATTAATATTTCTAGAATACAATATAGAGAGATAACTGTTACTTGAAAACCAAAACAGTTTTCTTACCTTGTCATAAAGTGTGCCATTCACATCAGCGCCGTAGATAGGGGCATTGAACGTAAGGTTCTTCCAGTATTTTCGTTCAAGGTCTTCAAAGTCCGTGTAGCGGGGTGTGCAGTACCTGAAAACACAACAGAGACAGTAAGGACTTTGCAGTTTGATACCTGAAGAGCCTAAACCAGCATTTTCCACCACTGAAAGAACTGAAAGCTACAGTAAAAATACCTAAGCGTGTGATCAGCCAGACCCCTACCTCCCAGAACAGCAACGGGAACAGCCACAGCCCTGTTCCTGTGAGACTTGGGAACAAAGGATCAGGAAGAAAATGATTTCCCCCATTTCTCAGTTTACTTTCATTTTTGCTTTGTGCTCTTCTCTCGGCTCAGAACAATTTCACTTTCTAGTTGTCGCCACTTAGCAAGGAAAAACGTAGTCAAACCCAGAAACGATAAAAAGAACTTGAAAAACTAAACAAAACTGAAGTTTTCTGAGAACGCAGAAGTAATAAACATTTCTAGACTCACCTGCTAGTAAACTGGTCAAGCAAGCTCAATTTATCAAAAAAACACCTGCTCTTGATGGCCATTCCCTGCTAACTCCATACTGGCCTCTTTGTGCAGCACTGGGGGATCAAATTTACACTCTAACACCTACTGAATACATGTGTATATATCTCTATATCCTGGACAACGACATGTATAGCAAAAAAAAGAGCAATTTTCATTAAATTATACTATTAGAGAATGAGAACCCCAAGATATCTGACATGCACTGCTCCTGCAAGATGTAATAAGCTTCAGCAGACTGACCACAGCAAGCAACCCTAATGCTGTTTCTGAAAAGAAATTTTAAAGGCTGTTTTGCTCAAATTCCTCTTAAAGTGATCTTCTCCGTTTCCTTTTTCATGACAAGAATGTTCCTTTCTCTGCTCACTGAAGGTTTCGATGGTCCAGCTACTGAGGACAAACCCGGAGGAGACCGCAGCCAAAAAGAAAGAAGTTCTGCAAGCACTACGCAGCCTCTTGCCAAGCGGCAAAGGTTCCCCATCCACCCGGCCAGTTTTACCAGCACACCTCATCTGCCCAGGGCATCGTGTTCACGCCTCTGCCCCATGCCAGCCCGCAGCGAGGACCCAGCCCCGGACAACAGCAGCCCCGGACAACAGCAGCCCCGGCAGCAGCCGTCTGCGGGGAGACGCGAGCGCGGCCGTACTTATCGCTGTTGGCGATTCTCCTGAACTCCCGGACCGTCATGGCCTTCTTCTGGATGTTGTACTGCGTGAAGAGGCCGGACTGCCCCGTCACCACCTGCTGGATGGGCGCTGGGATGACGAGCTCGTCGATGTCATCGTAGCACCGCCGCGGC